CAGTGCTTTCTTTCACATCGTCTCACCGGGTCCCCTTGTTCTTTCTATCTCCCTCGCTGTCACCTCACCTGAGGATATCACAAAAAGAAATAAAGGGTGAGGGGTAAGGGACAGATGGTAATGAATGAGAGACGCACGGCGGAGGACTGCCGGGCACACACTGAATACAAAACCTGCTGCAAAATGTACAAGCATCTGAATCTTTTGTCTACTTTTTAGATGTAACTGATTACTGTGTCTTTCATTTATAAATGTTGTAGTGTCTTTAACTCAGGCACACATGGGCTGTAACCTTGGGGAAGGCGAAAGAGGGGAAGCGTGTGTAGCTTGCACAAGTGCCTTCCACTGGGCGATTTTTCCCTATGCCGCTCTTCGCTGGGTGCACACACACATTCACACACACACACCCATACCCATCTCTCCTTCAAGTTGGGGGAAATCAGACCTAAGACCAGCACCGCTGCCGCTCCGCTCTTGAAATATGAATGGTTTTAATTAAACAAACTTGCTTTGCCATCTGGCCCTACAATTGGGCTTTGCCTAATGAACAGAGTTACACACAAACAACCGGCGAACGCATACACTTGCACATTATTAACCAGGCTAAGCAGCGTTCCGATGGGCGAAGCTTTCGAAAAACAACAAGATTGAAGTGATCTGGTGAGGAGCTTCACAGAGCTGGAAAATGATGCAGTGCCTCGTTGTGCTGAATGAAGAGTGTGTGCACGAAAAATAGCTCAAGCTAATTTATTTGTACGTGACTGAACACGAGGGCACTTGTTCAGCATGCATGTTTTCTGTGTGTAAAGTTGTGCATTTTGGTCCGTCTGTCCACTGTGTCTTCTTTGTACTTTGTGTGTATGTTACCAAAGGCTCAGACAATGTCTGTATTTGCTGCCTACTGGACTGGTAACTGCTGTGATGTTCTGCTTCTCTGTCCTACTCTGTTGAGCCAGCAGCCAACACTAAAAGATGATGTTTGTAATCCAAGATTTCTCAGCAGGAGAGACAGGAAGGAGATAGAGTCTGGCGTGTGTGTGTGCGTGCGTGCACTGGGGGGGTTGTTGTCCGGTAGCCAAAGCACAGAAATGTGTGATGCTAACATTAGTAGCCAGTAAGATGTGCTTTCTTTGAGGCTACAATAAATTTGCACTATTCATCTGTCTTAGCAGTCAGCATAAATGAAATGAGGCATCTGCCTCTGTGAGATGCACTCAGTTCTCCCGAGTAAATAAAATGTTGAATAAATTGATTTATTTTTCTCTCTTCTAGTTTGCTACACACACGCATGTCCATATAGAATACATCAGCCCTGCTTGGTGTTGTATAACCACTGGCAGCCCAGCATACTGTATTTTGACATATATCAGGATTGAATCCAAGAAGATAAGGTAAAAGGTTATGCTACACATTAGCATGTTTCTATAAAAAGCCTCTATATGTAACAATTTGATGACATAGGATTGATCCATAGCAGCGTGACCTGCAGCACGTTGCACAGCTGTGCTGATGTACTGAACAATGATATTACATCTTCAGTACTGGGAGCTGTTCTGATTTGTGCAGAGGTTTCACATGAGAACACTTTACACACCTCAGCCACCTCACTCATGATGAAAAGGCAATGTGGGACCATGTTATTTGGAGGTATACTTGAACTAACACGGTAAAAATTGAAAAATTCACTGCCCCCTTGGCAACATAGGGATCAATAAGAGAGCACAAGTCTTTGACCCGCTGATAAAACTGTACATCTGGAAGGGTTCTTTGACAGCCATAACAGCCTAATCGGGTGTTTGACTCCAAACACTCAGCGTTTATGAATATCTGATGAGAGCCGGGGTAAGCTTATGAATAAGTGAGGGCCCCAGCTGTACATCAGAAAGATCAAGACTTTATGAAATGTACCAAATGCCACTGCTGAGCAATATAGAGAGTGTTGCAGTCTTCAGCAATTACAGTAAAATTGTTCGTAGAAGGTGCTAAACGAAATGCTACAGATTGAATTCAGGAGCAGATTTCTCACAGGGTCTTTCACTCTGCTGAAACAATGTTTCTCTAACTATAGAGTCTCATCTGATAGTTTGTGCAGTGTGGAATGGGTTAGGAATGTGTTGATATTCCCACAGTGACCCCAACACTCCCTATTCTGAGTTGATTCTGGAAGAATCCAACTTGGATAGAGAGGGCGTCTTTTCATTTTTTTGTTTTGACGTTCCCCACGGAAAGAAGGCAACCAATAGAAAATAATAATGTTTGAAACCTGACCTTGATGAAGGAGATAAGGAAAAGAAAACACATCTGCTCGGGGTGGACAGAAAGAAAGGGCGAGGAGCAGAGAGTGGAAAACACAGTCTCTGTGTGTGTAGTCTTCACGTCTTAGTACACAGGCCTGCATTTATGTGAGTGCCGGGGGTGTAGCAGCCTGCATTCATGTGTGTGAGACAGACGAGCGACTGCGGTGGAGGACAGTTGTTTCTGCACATTGTGTGAACATCGATTGACAGTAAGCAAGTCAGAACGGGGGACATTAGCCTTTGTCTGCGTTTCACCCTGACACAAAGCAGTGGCAGTCAAACATGATGAATCAGTAACATGGTAGAAAACAAAAGTCAAATCCACAAAAGTCTTTCATCTACACACATAAACATAAAAAAAAATCAAACAACCTACTCCACACACTGCCTTCCTTCCGGTTTTTCAGAGGACGAGACCCTCACCACAAACTACAGTCGCATTCGGTGCGTAAAATGGCTGCGATTACATGTTGCTAATGATGCCCACGCCAGCAGTGAGCACCACAGCAAGCCATCTGCTAACTTTTGTTCTCCCTCTTTCCTCATAACTCCCTAATTGTCAAAGAGAACTGGGGCTTTGTATGGAGCAAATGCGGTACTGATGGTGCCTGTGTGCTCTGGCTACAACACGAGGGGGAGCGCTAATGTTAGTTAGCTTCACTCAAGAGGCGGTTAGCCAATATTTGCCCTAACCTTAGATGATTGCATTTACTTTACACTGAGGTATTTAGCTGATGCATTTATCCAGAATGACCTTGCATAAGTAAGCAAGCAGGGGATCAGTGTCTTTCTCAAGGGCATTTTAATAGAATACATGAAGGTTGAATGACAGGCCGTGTACCAGTTACAGTTTCTCACATCACAAGGCCACCCTGCTGCCTGCCTGAGTTCACAGCCTCAGAGTACAACCTGCAAAAAGTCACAATTAGAGGTTGATTTGAGAAAACAATGAGTTGAACTACAAGGCCCGTTTTCACATGCACTCACTTACTTGCAATCTCACTTTTACAGCTGCCTTTCCAGCTACACACACACACACACACCAGTTCATCTGATCTCACAAGAGATAGCAAGTAGCAGCAGAACATGTTGTTTATCTCAGACAGAAACTGATTCATGAATTGACCTCGACTCTGTTCCTCCAACAAATCTCATCTAGCGCTCCAGTATATTTTTGCCATAGCAGCTTCTGAAACCATGGAAAAGGAGAATTAACAACATCTGCACACTGAGCTGGAACCAAAACAGGTCAATGTTCTCTTGTAAAATATTTCTAATATCACAATATTTTATGATACATGAGCCTTTTGGTATTCAGCGGAACTTTTTTTTAGTCATTTGTCTTTCTATTTGTGCTGTTCTTGTCCTGGAGGCATATTTGATTGACAGGCTTATCATAGTTTGGATCTTATCAGGCTGTCTGCTGTCCCTGTCCAATTACTTTAAACAGAGACCGAATTGAAATGAGCCTTTTGATCGGGTCTGATTTGACCAGTAAGAGGGTGCCTGTTGTTTGATAAAGGAGATTTTAAACATCCACAAAGTAGCCCTATCAGCTCATACCAAAATGTTTCAAATCCACTTTAATCTGCATTAAGGCCAGAATTTGAGAGGTCGTTGTGGACGCCAGTGTAACCGCTCGTCTGATGTGAACGTCTGTCTGGTTTACCCGAGTTTATCTGCTGTATCGAGTAATCACATTAACCATGACTAGACACTTTAACCCTGTCAGATCTCCCCTCATTACCATTTTTTGTCTAGGCTCCACCTTGTGGACACAGTGGAAGGTTATACTTCAGACATCTACCAACAGCTTCATCTAAAAAGAGACGATGGGAATCTTCATATGATTTGAATATCCTTATCCTAAGCTGCAATGCCTCTGCACTTAGGCTTAGCGCTCTCGAGACAGCTACTCCTTGTTAAGCATCGCCTCAGACTCCTAGACTATGAATAGGACCATTACCCCCATCTCTCACTGCACACCCAAATACACACACACATATTTTGGCTTTGGTAGGAAACTAGCTCAGGCTAGCTGTGAGAAGGTTCTGTAAGGGAGGATACAGTGCAGTACCATGGGACTGCTTTTACAATAGGCTTTTTTCCACTGCTCCCACGCACTCTCTCTGGGCTGAAATGCTTTTACATTACATCCTACTGCACATCAGTTCCATCTCCCGATTGGAGCAAAGTGAACTCCTTCGTAAGGGCCTCAAGCCAAACACATCGGTGCAGATCAGTACAGCAGCTATCTGTAAAATCATCTAAACAAGTTCAGTATTAACCCCCATTTGTGACAGCTGTTGGTAGAAACACTATCCCCAGTCAAGCTAAAACCTAATAGAGAATAAAAGCTCAACTGAACAACTTACAGGCTAGATGGAGAAAGATGTTCTGAAAGGTGTTGATCTAGAAGAATATGTGTGCTACATACAGTACTGTATATTCCCTTGTGCTGTGCCTGTTGCTTCTGAAACAGAACCATAGGTTTGCATCGCAAACGCCATTTCATACCTGATCCACTACAGAACTAATCACTGCCAAAAATATTCAAGCCAAACACGTCGGAGTAAGTGTTTCTGTGTTTCTGTGAGTATGTCTACCACTGGCTGTGCTGCTGTACGTGAATGCTCTAGGCAGTATGTGCGTGTGTGTTTCCTGTATCTTTTTTCTAAATCTCCTTTTAGTGTTTGCCCCTACCATTCTCCATGTGCTCTGCCTCACCGACACTGCCATCCGGCGTTGTCCTCTCGTAGCTGTCCTCAGGCAGGGGAAGGGCGCCCAGCCGGGGCCCCGATGAACTCTTGCTGCTGGGCGTCTCCGACTCGTCCAGGCCGCTGTCGTAGCAGCTCTGCAGCGATCCCTGCTGGTGAGGGTCCTGGGGCTGGCTCACCACCGAAAAGGTCACTCGGCGAAACGGCTACAAGAGAAACCAAACGGCCGGGGGTCACTATAAAAGGGACTATTTTACTTTTTTGCTTCTTCTATTGTTAGACGTCAGCTAGGGAGTTAGGTCCTCTGGATTTTAGAAAGGGCACTCGGTCAGGATGCTAGAGAAATAGGTTAAGAAAAAAGGGGACAAGGGTAAGGAGGCTGTGATTTAGTTTGAGGAGTCAGGAGTTGTGCGCTAGCTAGATTTAAAGGTCACAACTATTAGGGCTAAATTCAATCTTTAAGTTAGCTGTGATGTAATTTCTTGACCCAACATAACCTCTTCTCTTTTACAACAAAGGCCTTTTATTACCACAAACCCTGCTTTTCCCTCACCCTGAAAACTTCTATCAGGGACACAGAGCAGGCTGGAGTCTTTCACCAGCTCACTTGAAGCTCAGGGAACACAGCACACATGCAGCTGGCTAAACCTGTGTGTTAAATACAGCAAAGGAGGGAAGAATGCACCATTGTTTATTTGCCTCCCCAAAAAAGGACAAGGTGAACAAGCGTTCGGCTCTACAGGCGGTCTGGTTTGATGCCACAGAACTAAAGCGCAAAGGCAAAGACGAGTGCATACAAGCAGGTACACCTTACTCGACTGTATGTAAGCACATACTCGCACACAAAAAGCCATCTTGGATGAGCTGTGGGTTCACATTGTCAATATGTGTAGTCTGCCCGAGCACGTTATTGAACAGTGACCTGAGTTAAGCAGTAACAGAGCATGTCATTAAAGCTGAGGCCTCTTTCTCCCGGTCTCAGTCGGTTTCTCTTCCTCCTTCCTCCCTGTCTGAGCACTGTACAAAGATAAAGGTAGAGAGGGTGGATGAAAGAAGAGAGAATGAGCACAACGGAAGGAATGAAAGACCAGGCTTACTCATTACAAGAATAAATAGCATAACAAACGACTGTCATTCATTAATTAAATACAAACACAGCCAGAGCTGGCTTCTGTTGCTGCACATCTCCTCTTCCTGCCCCTTACTGGACCTCATCATGTTCTCTTCCTCTTCTGCTTTTGTCCTGCGCTCCTTCCTCTCTCATCCTTGTTCTACAGTATCATGTGAATATTAAACGGGACAGAGGCCCATTACTCAAACATGCCCCCCCCCCCAACTCCCTTCCATTCATTCCCCAGTTGTCTCACTTGATGAATTAGAATCTGTTATCAGCCACAGTGATTAGTAACTGCACTTTAAATTTGCGCCTCTATCCATAACCCATCGAATCTTGTCATTTGATCTGAAGAAGCAGGTATCTCACAGTCATGTCAGGCTTTTATCGAGTTGATGCGTGAAAGTCTGCATCTCTAGAAAAAGAGTGACAAATGAAGTGCACATGTACGCTCTGACATGGAGAACATTCCCAGCATGCGTTGACAGGTCACCTTAGAAAAGTGAACTTCTTTGTCATGTTACTGTAAGCACCTCTGAATCTGTGCCAGGCACACACACTATGGAAAATTCTCTTTCTGATAATGAAATTTCCCATAAGCCACTGGGAAAATGGGCTTCCTTTTACTGTGTGTGTGTGCCTGTGTGGAAATTTGCATTTATTTATATATTTCTGCACGGTTTTCTTTCTCTGGGTGGCTGGCTAACACAGCAATCTTGGCTATAAATCATGTTTCCATGTAATTACAATCAACACTCAACAAATGAATTGGTATAAATATTCATGCAAATTTCACTTGGATAGTCAAACATTTGTTGCATAATTAAAATCGGGGGCCCAGAAGGAGAACTGCTCTCTATAAGTGTAATAACACTTGAAGAGATGTTAAGATATTAAACCATGTTTTTCTGTAGTTTTTTTGGGTTTGTGTGTTTGTTCATTTGTTTTTATTCTGTTTGTGTTTTCTTTGGAGAAGTAGAGTAAAAAAGCTTGTTTGGTGTGAGGTGTGTGATTACAAGTCCCACAGCTTGTCTGTGGTTTAAAAAAAAGTACTGTGTCTGGTTCAGATTTAGTGGAGTGCCATACTCCTTGGGAAACACGGTTTTCTAATGATACAAATTAAATGACTGTTGCATAATGAATTGCTGGCGAGATCGTAGATCGCAAGAAAAGAAACACTCGAGCAAGCACACGCCGAGGGAAAATTGAGTTTGGGAGAGAAAAAAGAAGCTGATGAGAAGAAAAAAATTTTTTATGAACAAATAGATTTTATTCACCTGAATTTCCCCTTATTTTCACTGGAGGGAGAGCGAGACAGAAGTGAGGGGGGAAAAAAAGCTAATTTGTTTGCAGACTAGAAATGGAGTTCACGCAGAGATCGCCAGAGGCTTTGGATTAGAATCTGTAGCAACCACCGTCTGCACCACGACCTTCGCTCCCTTCATTCTGTCTTTTAAATAAATGAATAAAAATATAAAGTGATTCTTTCATAGCCATTTTCCCTTGGATTTGTGTGTGTGTGCCAAGGTGTGTGTCTCAGTAGTAGCCAAAGAGGAGAAAGGTATTCTCCAGCATGTTATGTGAAATCACATAGCTTTGTGGTTGTCACATCTTATTGTTTTTTTCTCTCAAGGATTTTTAGGCAGAATTTCTCAGGGGTGCATCACATGGCCAATCCACAGGGAAAGATTAGCACAATTATTTGCCATGCACATACAATCAAAGTTGACGACCAGGGCTTTGATGCCCCAGAGATGCTTTACTACACGAGTGATGGCAAAGGGAGATTTTACATTGCAGGCTGTGAGTGCACAGTGTTCCCCTCACTGTCATATGGCACAGATTTTGACCCCCTCTCACCAACTCAATTCAGTTTTATTCCCAGCTGTTATCAGGCATGGTGCTTTTGTTAAGCCTGACTGAGTACAGGCCCTTTTGTTGCCCTCTACCTCCTACTCTGACCTCCTGCCCTCGTGGTCCACTCAGCTGCCAGTCAGTTCAGCAGTGACTGAGCCAGAAAACACCGGTGCGCACGCACACAAAAGCACTGAAATGTCATGATCCCAGTGTTATTTGGTTTTAAAGGAGAGCCACATTATTTCTATAAAGAGTTCGTTCAGTTTAGTCACTGGTTTTTATGCGATGTATTTTGTGTAGACTTGGATTTAGAAAACGGAATAAAAATGCAAAACAACAACATTCATAATGGCATTGTTCCACTTTTACACTTAACATGCTTGAGCACAAGGCTGAACCCCATGCTGTGCCCTGCCAGAGGATAGTAAAGCTTTTAATATATGGCTTTCATTGTAAGTTACCATTAGTTTGCTTTATCTCTACCAGATGTTGGGACCCTGTTTTGGGTCCAAACAGCCGATGGCCTTTTTAAGAATATGCCTGTGATTGAAAGCCAGCTGTGACAGCCACAGGTGATTGAGTAAATCCGTCATCCCAAAAAATGAACAAGGCAAACAAGCCACAGGTTTATCGGGAGCTCTGGCCGATGCTTGTCCCGGCCCATTTCCTGGACGCTAAAAGGAAACCACATGGGCTGTCTGACTCAAGCGGCGCTAGGAGCTAATAAAAACAGAACTGAGCTGCTCATGTCAGTAATGTGTGACCTCGTGGATTTGATTTTCATTTCCTCCTCCCCCAAACTAGACCTCAAGCTGCTGTCAGCTGGAATCTGTTTGAGCTTCACTGCTTCTTTTATCTCCCCGCAAACACTGAATAGGTGACACATTGTTTAGAAGTAGAGCGCTCTGCCTTTGCATGAAGCGTTGGAGTTGTTCAGATCAATAACACCGTTGAGAGCACAGTAAAGGAACAATATTTAAAGCTATACAGTAGCTTTAATCTCAGGTATCTTCTAAAATGTTGTCACTATTAGATCTCCCATTATTTTCCCATAATCTCTGTTCTCAACCTGTTCTCTCTGGATTTCTGGATTTATAATTAAGCTTGCCTCTACCAGATCCTTCTGGATAATAAAACGATGGAGGCGGGTCTGGTTGGAAAATGCAGTGTGTGTAATTTCAGCGGTAAATACCTTTGGCGGATGGCAGTGACCCACTGCTGTGAACCACAGGAAGTAATTGTGGCTGGGCCGGGCTTAGGGCAAGGGGAGCAAACAAACTGCAGGACCAGTGTCTTATTGCAGTCAACCAGGGGAGATGGAGGGATACTGAGAGGGAAGTATGAGTAAGTGAGATGGAAGGAAAGATAAAGAGGCCCAGTCAAACAGGGTAGAAGACAAAAGAGACTCGGAGAGAGTGAGGGATGGGAGTGACACACGAGTACGGCCTCGTTTGCCAAAAGTTCCAGTCGGTAATTAAGAAGCCATGTTTCATTTTTAATGGGCAACCAGGCAGTGATAAACCACCTGAGACATACAGAAATTGCTAAATAACTACGGTACACACAAAAGAACATACTTGCTGGGATCTTAAATTGGCTTAACCCAATCATGACTGCTTGTTTTGTAAAGCTCAAACACAGGTGAAGCTTGGTGTATTTCCAGTACTGTGAAGAGATACACTGATGGTGAAGCGATAAATGAGAAGAACGCCCTCAAGGTGAATGTCTGACTGGAAATCAATTGGAATCTGATGCAGGTGGATTCAGGTTCTGTTTGGGTGCTGCTCAGTTGCACTTAATGTTACAGGCTCACCTAAGAACAGAAGGCTAATGCTACCTGGCTTCATCCTGCGGACAGCCTCTCAGGTGTGTTAGGTGACCTGGGACATTTCAAAGGATTGTGGTTATAGGGCTGACTAAGTTTTGAGAATGCCGGTGCAGTAGTTGGCTGCAGATTTGTTAGTACAGCCGCCTGTGGAGTCTCAGGTATCATGTTCTAGCCTGACAGATAGCTTTGGCCCTGTCAAGCTCCAGAGCTCCTCTTCACTTCTTCAAGGCAGGATGAAGAGGAAAAATGAGGGTAACTCTTCCAAAGAACACCCAAGACTCCAGGAGGAAAGAAGGAAAAACAAAGCCGGGATATCAAAAAGGCCCTTGCGAGTTCAGGGTCTGTTTTTTTTTTTTTTTTTCCAAACGTTATCTTCAGAGTCAACAAAGATGCAAGAGTGTTTTTTCTTCTTTCTCCAGTCTGCTGAGTTGGAAAAAAGTTGTTTATCTTGTAGAAGCCAGGCTTACAGGGGCATCCAGTTCCTCACCTTAACTGTGCACACAATAATGGATTTCAAAATGTAAAAAAAGGAAGATGTAGTGAGTTAGAATAGGTTGATAAATATGAATGCCAATATCTCTTTTATATTATCAGCCAGAGAGCTGTGAGGTCATGCAATCCACATGGGCACAAAGCCCAGTAATAACATTTTTAAACACCTTTAAAAATGCTTTTATTACTGGAGGTGTAGACATTATGGGCAACACAGCACACAGTCTCGTTAAGAGTTGATGATGCTATTAGCACTCTCTTGTCGATCTTTGAAATTGTGAGAGTAGTTTTTACCCTTCCATTTTACCATGTGGCTGTTTTATGATCTGACAGCACACCGATCAATTGAATGTCCTTCAGTGCTTGTCGACTAACATTCTCAAGAGTCTTTACTGACCCTTTATTGCACTTCTTGGCTGAAGAAATGGCCGTATAAATACATGTACTCCAGTAAACCAAGACCATTTAACAAATCCAAAGCGACAGCAGGAAACCCAAAACCTAAACTCCTTAATGCTGCTAGGCACAAGAAGTCCTCGGAAGAAACACTGTGGGGATAAATTCTTGTGCTTTGGGAACCACTTTGGATTTAGAAAAAGGAAATGGGAATTTAAGTGTAAAAAATGTGCACTAAAAGTTGGAGAGAGTTTAAGAAAGTAGAATAGAGAAAAAAAGGAAGGGGAATATATGATAAGGAAACAACAAAATGGGTGATTGTTCTATCCCAGGCTCCATTTTCTTCTTTCATCCGGATCCCCCTTAAGTCTTTTCTTTTCCCAGTGTGTTTGGAATGTCTCTGGAAGAGCCACAGCTAGCACTTTCCTATTAGCATGCACCCCATGTGCGCAGCTGAAGAGACAGACCCGCAGGAAGAAAAAAAAAGATCACACATGGTTACTTTCTTAAAGTCTGGCCTAAACTTTTAATTGCTCTTCAAGTGGCGGATTAGGCCACTGGTGTAACAGAGATACTGTTCTGAGTGGTAGAGGGGGGGGGGGGGGGGGGGGGGCCATTGAGTGGCAGTGGATTAGCTTCACGCTGCCAAATAACATCCTTTGTGGGATTCTGCTGGGCTGCAGAAATGCCATCATAGCAAGCCCAGTGTCAAGTAACAGAGCGCATGAGGCTAAAAAAGAACATTATAAAAGGAAAAATGAAAGCTTCGTAATTCATGAAGGGAGACTTGTCATTGTTGACCAAATAACTACTGTGTTCCCATTTCTGCTGTGGTACATTTTTGCGGATTTCCACAGCGACATCCGCAGCCTGTCAGTGGAGAATTATGTTACATCCTTTCATTATGAATGGATGGGCCCTTCTTCTATGTCACCACACTAGAGCCACTGCTGCTGACACAAGTGCTGGCAGACACTGGGAATGAATGTCAACCAAACCCTGACCTGGTGTTGCTTACATAGAGTCTGCCTGCAGATCCTGAGATCGCATTTCTTGCTGTTTTCAACTTCAGCCCTCATGCACAGAGCGCATACATGTGTGCACATATCAGGTGAAATCGTTCCCTGCGCACTCGGGCGTGCAAGTGCCTCTCGTCTGTCTGTGCGTGCATGTCAGTGTGTATGTGTCATGTCGTTGCCATCATCATGTCATTTCACCCGTCAACTTGCCATCAGCTCAGGTTTCTAGTTCTGGCATGGGTGGGTGAATATAGGTGTCGCATGTGGGGATCCATCAAAGCGCTGGCAGCGCTGTGTCTGACCAATGGCCTATAACTGTCAGTTTGTGACAAGCCCGGGGCTGGTGCTAACGTTAGCTTGTTGTGACACAGGTCCGGGTGTCAGCAGAAAGCATTACATGGTATCAGCAAAGCCCAGAGTTGACACAAAGCGGCCAAATGCCAAAGGAGCATTTGCTGTTACGGATATGAGAAACAGCAACTTGGTTATTTTGCTACCTGTCCCACGCAAGCACAGATGGAAGATTTAGAAGCCATCAAATGCAATATCTAAAGAAACGAATGGCATCACAGAGAGGGGAAAAAAGCTGAGATATAATCTACAGGGATAGACAGATTGGGGAGAGAAGGATAAAGAAAGAAAACAGACTGAGATAAAGGAGAGAGAAAGAGACAGTGTAGCAGCTTTAATAAGGCTGACAAATGATTCTTTATTTACCATCCTGAGTCACTGATGACAGATAACCTGCATTTAGGGGATCAGGGCTGCCATCCAAACAGGCAAAAGAGAGATGAGAGAGATAGATTGGGGGAGGTTAGAGAGCAGATCCAGCTTATCCGCTAATGAGGCGTTCTATTTGAATATGATCATGCGGGTATGTATCATTCATGTGGGATAAGTAGCGTGCGTCTCCTTGTAAAGTGCCTGTCCATGCCTCTGTGCGTACATGTGTCCTCGTTCCATCTTTAACAACACCTGCACTTTGCTCATTTCAACAGGATACAACCACCAGGTGATGTCTTTGCCTGGATGAAAGGAATGCCAACTCCGTGCCCTGATCATCATGTCACTGACACACACATGCTTCCATTACAGGTCCCATCCACCACCTGGTATTGACAACAGAAGCATATACAAGCCAAAATGAAATGAGTAAGCAAATCCTAATGTCAGGACAAATAAACAAATAACCGCTCCCCCCCAGGTTCTTCCAGCCACGTTCCCCATCCCTCCATCTTCCTCCATGAGCTACCCTATCTCCGTCTCTGTCACTCTTGCCCACGCCCTCCCTGTCTTTGTCGAGATCACGCAAGGTCAAACTTTCTTGACGTTTGATGGATGAAAATGGAATTAATATGAAAGCACACTTTCAGATAATGAAGATATGCGGTGGGAGATTAGGAAGCGGGGAGGCTGCCGAAGGTGCCGGCCAAATTAATATTGAAATTTATGTGTGTTTGGCTCAGGCCCAGACAATCCCCATGTGTTAGTTTCACCAGGGGGCCAAAGTGGAAAACATAACAAAAATTTTCATAGTGTGATTTTGTCGTACTTCGGAATGCTAAATAAAGTAACAGAAATACACAGTGTAATAAGGCAACTGTGCTGGTAACAAGATATATGGCTGTGAGTCTTTGTCTGTGGTGTTGGAGTGATTTTTAAAGACAAATGAGGTGTGTGAAAGCAGGTTTGCTTATTAACTTGTGCCCTCTCAGATAACTGCACTGACATTTGTTAGGTATTTTTAGTCAGATAGAAATTAGATAGATACTTTATGTATTAGAAATGTTTAGTGGAGATAAGATGTCTAGTTAGACTGTTAAATGCTTAGGCATGCTTATGAGTTTCTACAGGGTACATCTGGTCAAGGATAACTAGAGAGAAGAGTTGATGACTGTCAGCAGACAGGGTGTTTAATATTATTATTATGAAGTGTATAACTGTAGCCTTAGCCATAATATGTTCTTATGTTTAAGTCACGACATGTTCTAGAAGTCTGTGAGAATGTTTTTAGTTACACACCACTTAATCAACAGACACACACACATCGATTTACTTCATGTTTTGACTACTGCTATGACCAGCTGCAAAGCTGGCAACAGAGACGTCTCGGTTGACGTTTCTGTGTAGTATGGGGCTAGCCCAACCAAGGGGATATAATGTATAGTCCTGGTGGGTTCAGGGTCTTTCATCTTACATCTGCCTACATGCAGTATGGAGGTGCAAGATAACTGAGCGTGTAATGTTAATTTTACCTGTGATCCTTTGAATAAATCAGCACTGTTTTGTAGTTACTTGGACTGTCTCGTCTCTCAGAGTTAGCAATGGTAACAAGAGCCATAATCCTACACATTGAAAGGCATGTCATCTGCTTTACAAACGTGACACATGTAGGGATATACATCTTACAGTCCAATCCTTCTCATTTCAGCAGTGCTGAAGAGCTGGCCCCATGCCTCAGAACGCTTCAAAGACAGCCTATCAAGGCCTCGTATCACCATCTGACGACAGCGATCTGCACTCTAATCCACAGGTATAGTAGTCTTCTACTCCAAGGCACTTCTTCGAGTGCACCAAGCTAACAGTCTCTCTTTTCTCACTCTTGCCTTTTCTTTGACACTATTCCCAGTGAACCAAAAAAAAAGAAAAATCCTGGGAAGATACACAGTATGCTCTTAAGGTCTCATTTTCAGCTCCAACTCTATTAGATCTCATTACTCAGTTGTTGGCTGGGCAGCCATTTTGGGCATCTAAATGGAAATTTGATAATGGCATCCGGTTGTTTTGGTCCCCACTGCCACATCTCCAGCTCCCTGCTTTCAGTGGCACTTTCTTAATGGGGCACAGGAGTGTCAAAAAAAACACAATTAACAGCGCAGCTAGCTTGTTCCCTCTGGTATGTCTGCCCGATAAGTCGAAATAATGCAGAAAAACATTGGAGGAAGAATACAAAAGAGATTCATGTGTGCTTTGATTTGACCCTGTTTTTGTCCTCCCTAACCTGCAAGCTGCTACCCATTATTGAATAAGGAAAAAAACATGGTCAGGTTACATAGGAGACTGCCAACAATGAGCCTCTTTGTTCATACATTAAGTAAACAGGCAGAATGCAACAAAAACTTATCTTTCTATTTACTCAGACAAAGGTCAAATAGGCATGATTACCAGACACCTGTGCCTGTTCTCTAGTGATCTTTGTACCAGTGTACCAACACCTCTGTGCCATCAGTCCCTGCCTCCAAGTGGCCCGGTATTATTCACATCGTGTGGACCTGTTTACACACACACATTGTGGGGACTTCCCCCTGGGAACCAGCTGCCGGTTCCCATAATGTAAATCACTGAGTTTTAGGGTCAGGACTTGGTTTGAGGTTAGGGTGAGTCTGAGGTCAAAGTTTCCATGGGGGTTGAAAACAAATGTGTGTGGGTGGGTGTGTTGTTTCACATATTACCTTACTGACAGCTGCTATGCTCGCAGAGATGGAGAATAAAGGAGGACAATGTTTGGGAGAGTGGTGGCAGTGAGCATGGCTAGCAAATGGAATAGATCCTGTGTCACACTGAAATATGCAACCCCCCTGCTGCAGGTGAAAGCACCTGACTGTATGCATGCCCCCCTCCCCTCCTCGTACTTCTAATCAAGAGGACAGAAATGAGAGAACAGGGCACTCTCAGGGGGAACAGAGAAAGAATGGCTGTTATTGAAGTAACCTAAGCTAGTGGAGAACGATAACCACCGTGAGGACACACAGCCTCTGCGGTGACAGCACTTGTTCAGCTCACTGGCTCCATGAAGGAGCTGGTGTTGGCGGTGGTGGCGACTGCGTGTGGTGACTCTCAGATGGTTATTGATTTAACGTGACATCAGTTTGACAGATAGCAGTGATGAGCGCTAAGAACAGTGCTGTGCATCATGTGTGACATCATCAAGGATCTGTGATGCCAGATCAATATGGATCCATGAAGTCAGGTTAGCGATATGTGTGTTTGTGATAGCTATGAATAGGCTTTCCTGAATCCTTGTGGATTGTCAAGGAAGAGGGATGCGGTTCTCTGTCCCCCTCTTCTGTTTTTCTATTTCAGTGTCTTCCTCCTTCACCCCAGCCGCAACAGAACTGCTTAAAAAAACTACCCGACCTCAAAACTCAAGGCCAGAATTGAGGCTGTCACATAAAAAGACAAAACATCCATTTAATTTGAGCTCATATTACATTGCCATTTTCTCACTCTTTGATCTAAGAACAATGCCCAGGATTTGCTTCAGACTGGGCTGTTTCCAAGCCCTTTTACTCTGCTGCACCTAGTTTCTGCTGAACAGGTTTTTTCTCTATTCACTGCTTCATAAAGCAAAAGCCAAGCGCTAGCAGCGCAGCACAGCACCCCACTGTACTAATGATGGCCCTCCTCAGGTTGGCTGATTTAACCCCCAAGTGTAAATTGAGAGGTGAAGTCCATGGGGGCTGCAATCTATCTTAAGATGAAGCAGCTCAAAAAAAAAAACAACACCCCTTTTGAAAAAAAAAAAAAAAAAAAAAAAAAAAAACTCCCTGGCCCACATTTCTATGCTAACAAGAAAATTGGGTGTGTTTTATTTATCTGCAGCGCAGACCACATTATTATGAATTTGGGGCATTGGACGGGTATTTATTTAGAAGACTACAGTTTCTGTTATTCCCCATGTATTTATCTGTGCCCCCAACCCTCCCTCCATTCACTGTGCCTCTGGTCCTCATCTTTGGCCAGAATAAAAAGCAGGTCAGGCGTATGTGACAACTCAATAAGCTACTGTAAGTATAAATTACCAAATACTGAGTGGCGGCCATAGTTGTCAGCGTGCGACACGGCTCTGCTTTGAGGCAAAATGTGCTAATCTGTTTTTGAATATTACTTCAGGTGCTGAAAGTCTGCATGTGGTGCCTTTGTAACTGATATGCACTCCCAAGAGAGTGGGTTTGAAGAGCGCTGGGTGTGAGGTGGCTGTCCTTTTCTCCAAGATGCATCTGCTGAGTCTTTTAGGTACTTCACTGGAATTATAATCATGCTGTAACATCTGAAGACAGTTGTTGCAAGTATAAAAACACATATGTACAACACATTTCCTCTGAGTCTTGCTAAAATACTTCAATCCTAGGTGACAATGCTAATGGTGTTTTTGCAGTAGTTGTCAAGCTGTCATCCAGAAGTCGCTGTTTGTTTCTCTAACTGACATGTGCCAGGTATCAGCCCATCCAGATGTGATCATCGCCATTAGTGAGTTTGATTTTTCGGCACCAACAACTTTTCATTTCCCATCCATCTGTCAAGAATATCACCCACAAAGTCATCCATCACACTCAATCCACTCCCTAATTCTCATGTCTCTCGCTCTGCTTATCTCAATACTTTAGAGATGAAGTGTAATACTAACAAGTCAGAGAAAGACGAATGGCTTGTTGGGTCATAAATCCACTGATAAGATGAGCAGTGTGCTTCACATTAGGGTTTTATTCCATGCTAGACCTTGGAGGAACTTCCTGGTGTCTTCACACTCACGCATAAGCACACACGTATAAAGGTCCCTGTCATCGTTCCCTCTCTCCACTAATGAGTTTCATTTCGTTCCCACATTCCTTTACGTGCCCCTATCAACCTTAGTCGTGTTGAGTTGCAGAGCCACTGTCTCACTGCTTCTTTTTCTCCTCCTCGCTCTCTCTACAGTGCTTTTCAGTGCAGCTGATTTCCGTCAATCCCTACAATCTAGTTAATATTTCATCAAGTAGGGATTTTCACATCTGTAGGTCACATTCCGGGCCCTGGCAATTAGAAACTCAAGCAGCGACCTGGCTTGCTTCTTTAATTCTCCTTCTTCTTCTCCTCAACCTTCCGTGCACCCTTTTTTTCAAAGGGAATTAACAAGATGAAATTAATTTGAGCTTTTGCTGAAGTCCTAATCGCGCAGTCATCAAGAGTGGCCGAGAAGAAGGGTGGGGATGGGAGGGGGTGGACGAGCAGGGCAGTGGTTGATAAGAGCGTTGGAGGCAGAGGCAGAAAACCAGAGACAGTGAAGGGACCACCCAAATCCACATGAATAAAATAACATTCCAGGTTATAAAGTGTTGTGCAGCTAGATGAGAAGCAACCGCAGTCTTTTGCTGGATACAGATTCTCTTTGGTCTTGGACAAATCCCCCATTTAGGAAACCATAAGAACATGATATTGCCATAGTTGCTGGAGACACAGTGAACTAGAAATCATGGCTAATTGTGGTAGCATTTACAGCAGTTGTGTGATTTAGAGAATTAAATATTTCATTTTGCAGAGATACATGTGTATTTGTTCTATTTAATAATGCATCTGAGAGCATGTGCCTTTTCTTTTTGCTGCTCTGTAATTACATGTGGGCTCACTAAAGGAAGCCTGTGTAGGCGCATTACTGGAAGTGTCTTGTGTGGTTCTTAAATGCATGCTGGATGCAATGGATTTAGCAGCATTCGAACTAGATTAACAATGCTTTGAAGATCTTTGACTAACCCCGCCTATACCACACAGCGTTAGGTGGCTTAACAATAGGATGCCTGGCCATAGCATGTTCACATCTGTGATAAAACTGGATGGTGTCAGTAGCAGGGATCCTCACAGCTCTTCTAGGACACAATAAGATGTGTGATCAATAATCTGTTTGCACTAGGAAGTCACCACAAGGTTCTGGAATTGATTGAAAACCCTTTATTTACTAAAGACACCGAGTTTACATAAACACAGTGAAGGGCTCATCAAGCTTTTATAGACCACTAAAAAATTAACAATGTTCTCATTGAGGGCCTGTTTACTGTGGCTGTCGGGTCAGGAGTACATCTGTGTTGCTGTTTTGGGACCAGTGATTATTAGCCATGACCAGTCAGAGCCTGACCTGCAAAGCGCTCTAATACATAACCTTGTGACCTTCCTGTCTGCCAGCCTGCTTAAAGCTAATACATATTGATTGGTTGTTGGGAAAGGGAGCATGTGGAGAGAGTGAAAAAAGGTATGGATTCAAATAATGCTAAAATTTGACCAGAAAAATCACTCTGGCATCCACTGGTCCCTGCAGGGCTAATTTAAGCAGGCAAACAAGAAAGGCAGCCCAGCAATCTGGCAAAATAAAAGTCAGTGCTCCCCGCTGCAGCCAGCCAACCAAGGCCATCATACAGAAATGGTGAAAATCCACGGAATCTTTCTCAGCGTTATATTCTCAACAAAACCATATAATGCAAGCCACCGAGCACACTATTAAAACAAGAGAACAGAGCGACGCCAGATGAAACTTTGATACATATGATCTGGTGCACGTGAGACAAGACTCACCCATCCCACACGCAGCCCAGATCTGTCTATCAGCCACGTGTTTAGCCAACCTGTAACACTGCCCCAATCAACTCAGAAGCTGAGGCTTGTCAGTCACACGTTAGCAGCCGAGTCACCATGAGGCAGAGGAGGAGATGAGGCTGAATGCTTATTAGTGACTGTGAAATCTTAGCCCCAAAGCTTCTCTTGACTTCTCAAGCTTCAGTCAAAAAGCACCACTGCTTTTCTTAAATAGCATTTCTGTTTTGCACAAAATTAAACAGGAATGAAATCAGAGAAGAAGCATTATTATGTCCAAAACCTGATGTTGTAAGCAGGGATATCTCCCAGTTACTGGTATTGTAAACATAAGAAAAGGAGTAGTTTGATATAGTATGGTCCCAAAGATTAGGAGGCTTCTGTTTATCCCACGCAAGTTTCCTTGGTGCACTGGACGAATGCTGATTAGTAATGTGGACTTTGACTGAGAGCATTCACAGTAAACTCACAGTTAAAGAATGGAAACATTTGTTGGAAGCATTTAACTCCCACTTGGTGGTTAGGTTGTGGTAATAAAGTTCTCTTTTCTTCTGATCTTGTGGCCTGACAAAGGCCTTTTCCCCTGTCTCCGTCTTTCAGCTGTGTTTCTTTAATCTCAGTTTGATCCTTCATTATCCTACAAGCCACCTCTCACACCAGCAAAGAATTCAGATCTTTAGAAGAAGAAAAAAACCACATGCACGCGTGTGCGCGACTATTCATACATTAATAAAACCAGCACAAAAACACACACTCCCACACACAAAAACATAACACGAGCTCACATTCGTGTGCCTGCAGCCGATGGACGTGGCGTTTAAATGGATGTGACATTAAAGCAGGAAGGCCCGTTCGGATTGGCGGTCAGGTCAGAATCGTACTCCCCCTGTCTCTCTCACTCGCTGCATCAGTGTTGAAATAACGATGTCTTAGCATATTTATCAAACAGATGCAGTTACTTTACACTTGCTGGAGGAAGATGCAATATGCAAAAGCTTTATGGGAGCCTGTTTTCAATGGCGATACACAGCAGCTGTCAGTCAAAGCTTGACCGAATTTCAAAACATACTCCCACTCGTGCGTCCACTCAGTAGTTGTCATGAGTCACAAGCAGCAGCAATTACTGTGGTAATAGAAAGAAAAAACACAAATTAAAGAAAAAAACAGCAACATTAAATCTTATAGTGCATCCGACCAAATGTGGCAGTATGCTTAATCTCACACAGCATCAGGTTTTTGCAGCATAATTAAGATGGCAACAGAAAAAAAATCTAAACATGTTTTTAGATTTGCTTCATAGTCTAAGCTTATGTGCTTTGGATTGGATTTCACAAAAAGCAGAGAGGCACATACCCCCGCTAGCATGTTTTACCACTTCATCCCGCCTCTCGGTGTGTATCCACCTGAGAATTGACCATCAAATGCATAGCGTTCCTGTTCAATCTGCTCGTTGTTTGATCTCAGCAAGGCAGAGCCAAAGAATAAACAACTCCGTCACAGAAGGATTTTACATACAAGAGAAAGGCAAAGAGATACAAAACAAACAAATGTGCCAGCCTCTATGAAGGCTTCTGGGCTGCGTAATTAGGCAACATTCATAATACATGACCACGGGTGGGGGAGAGACAGAAAAAAGGTAGAGGAGAGCATTTGAGTGTGGAGGCAGGAGTGGTAATGCTTGATCCGCTGTCATTGATCAGACGTGTGTATGTGTGTGGGAGTGTGTTTATTTTCTGGTTGTTCCATCATGTGGCTATTCATGTGTGTTGTTTTCCCAGAATGTGTGTGTTTGTGTTTGTGTGCACGGTGTGCTGGAGGCAGACGGCCTGTGGCAGGTAGAAAATGGCCCGGGCCTTTTCATTTGACACTGCTGCGCCTTCAAACAAACTACCTAGGGCCCTCGCGCACACCCATAATCCATTCAAGGTAGCAAGCAATTTTCATTATTGACTGGTGAGAAACACAGGCAGGGGAAGAGAGACGGAGAGAGAAGGGGGAGAGTAAGCGAGACGAGATGGAAAACAAAAAGAGAATAGCATGGCTGAGTGCAGAGAGATTGAAAGTAGTAAAGAAGGGAGAAGTGAAAAAGATAGCAGGGTACTGGCAAGGAAAAAAGGCTGCGTAAAGGAGAGAAAATAGATTACAAATGAAGAAAGGGCTCAAGAATGTAGAAGATGGGAGGAGAGATCCACAGAGAGAGATGCCATGGAGAGTGATGTGTCCGGAGAGGGAGGGAGGGCGTAGAGGAGAGATGGAGAGTGGAGGTGAAGGGGATGCAATCATACAAGGTGCCAATATATGGCTACAATTGTAGAAAGATTAGGTTTATCATTGCAGGAGGTGGCATAAGTAGCAAGCACATACAGATATACTCTTTAACGGTCGAGGTTTGCCTATATGCTAATGCAGACCTTGTGAAGAGGGCCAGGGTTGGCTGACAGACATGGTCACGACCATGAGCTGATGGATGGCACAAGCACACGGTCCACACTGTCTGTTAAAACATCTAAATCCTAACAGATTTAAACTCAGGTGAAACTCCACCAGTCATTTCTCTGCATTTTTACAGTGTCATGCTTTAAAGATATTGATAAGGCATTTTGGGGCATACTCGTTGAAATGCAGCTCAGCAAACCACAGAAGAAGAAGCCGAGAGACGCAGGCAAATAGACAGAGGAAGGGAGGGTTGCTAATGCTTGAAATAAATCACTCTACACAGTATAAAAAAAATCTTTGTACTGTTTAGACATATATACAACCAGCTGAAGTTAGCTGCCTCTCCAGCAAATATGTCAAAATGTGGTTTATGATAAGATCCTGAGCTGGATGTTTGTCAGGGTAGGTCTGGTGGGTAAAAACAGCAATCAACAGAGTATCCTCTGCTTTTGTACATAGAGGAAACTTCGAATACAAAGGAGGACAGAAGGCAGAAAATGAGCGAAATGATTGATATTCTGTCCCCATCTTGTTCCAGTCAAGTGACAAAATTCCTCTCGCTGTTTTTCGTCTCTCTTTCTCTCTCTGTCTCTCTCACAGCCCGAGCCAGCAGCCAGGAAATGAGCCTGTTTTGTATTGTTGGGAATTTATTTCTTTTTTTTTTTTAATTCAAAATAAAAATGACAGTTGATTTGTCATCCTCTCTGCAGTATTTTCCGTGTGTGTATGTGGAACTGTGACTCCTGCTAGCTAAAGGTGCAGCTTGTGAGGGCACGCACGCCTCTCACTGAGGGGATCAAAGCGGGGGAAACACGCTCCCCATACCTCACTGAGAAGGTTAACATCGCTCCCTGTGGTGCGTGCGTGTGCCGCAGTGCATGCGCCTGCCTGGCATCTGCTGTGCACTTGCTGTAGCATCCATCAAACCTCAACAAATAAGTAATACCCTCACCGATCACTGCCAAATTTCTTCCTTGTTTCACATTCATGGCTGCACTCCCCTCAGCCACTTCCTGCTTCCAAATCCCTTATGCTAACATCCCGATTCCATTTCACCTTATCTTCTCCCTACTCTCTTTTTCAGCCTCCCTCCTTTCTCTACAGTCACATCATTTCTTTATTTCTCTCCCTGGCGTGCGCGCACACGCACGCACGCACGCACACACACACACACACACACACACATTACACTTACAAGGAGTGTGTCTAAGATTATGAGTCTCTCTCCCTTTTTTCCCCTTCTCTTTACGATCGGGGCCAGGGCCTGAAGTTGCCTCTGTCAGCACAATAAGGCCCTATAATGGATGGTAATCATTCAGCAAGCGTGGCAGCTACGGCTAGCTTGAAAAAAAAGAAATAAAGTGAGTGAGCGATAGAGAGAGAGAGAACCCTGGCTCCTCCGCTGCTAATCTCAACTAATGGCTTCTGCAGCGCCAGGAGAGAGCTATACACACTAATAATGCAGTGGGGAAGAAACTAAGGGATTGGGCACATGGGGTAGAGTGGGCCATGGTTGGGAGGGGTGGGGGCCAGAGGGGTCAACTGACTGTTTTGGGGGTGGAGGGCGACTAACTGATAAGGGGGGTAGTGGGTGGAAAGAGAGAGAGCGAGTGCAGGAGATTGGGGGGATAAAGGAGGAGGGAAAAGGAAAGCAGGGTCAGCTTAAGCACAGAGTTTAATGGCCTCATTATTATAGGGAGTCACCCACTATGGGAATTAAAGCCCCATTTAAACACAAGTCAATTTACAGACTTGTTCACACAATGCTACATATCACTCACTCATCAGTGATGGCTCATAATGTTCAGCTGTTTTCTGCCAAACGTTTTAAATGGAAATCAACCAAAAACATTAAGAAACCATAGCCACAAGTCTGAACCAGTCAAGGTTGTTCATGAGCTTTCTGAGAGTTCAGACAAATAGAATCAACAGACTTACAGTCAGGACGGAGTAAAACACACCCGACCTAGCAGTACCAAGGCCAAAGTGACCCACAGACATGATGTTTTTTTTTTGTTTGTTTGTTTTTTTAAACATTATAGCTTTTGTTTTCTGGCTTGTGTTATGTTTGGAGAGATGTTAACTGTTCCTCCCTATTTCTGGCTTTTAGGCTATGCTAAGATAACTGGTTGCTGGCTGGGCCCCAGGTTTATCAGACCAACATGTAAGTGGATTGGATATCGTTCCATACATACTTTCCACCTGGACAGGCTGTGACCTCATGTGTCAATCAAACATAGCATTATCACAAAAAACAAAGCCAAAACCTTGTGGCAGGAAAACAAAGGGAATTTTAAGATGCTAAGAAAACTGGTTTCATCAGAAGAAGAAGAATGTTTAAATATAGGGCTGAAAACAATCATCATCTGACAGCGCAGTACATTGGCTAGTGTTGCAATAAGCATCATGCTTTGAGGGATTGGACGTTTATCTAAAGGGATTAGCTCAGGGGATAAGCAGAATGTTTCTCATATCGTTTTAGTCTAACTGAGCAGAGAGACAGCAAAATAGTGCTTGTTTGTGCCAGGCTCATTTTCCATTTTCAAATATATATTTATCCTTTTATCCGGTTTTCATCATCTGCAAGGTTATGCAAGCATGAGCAGAGAACAGGCTACGAGGTCGAATGTATGAAAGGCTGATACCACATTACTGTGGTCCAGAGCTTGTGCACATGCACAAGGCTGGGGATCAGGGGAGAGACCAGCGGGCGTTTTTCTCTCATTACAGTGCCAACAGATGCAGATGGCTGTGGCCAGAGCGGGGGATCAGATCCGTTGGACAGCACCCAGTGGTTGAGCTATGAGCCTCCTCTTGATCGCAGACAGCAGTAATTGGTAGAAGGAAGCTTGAGAAAATTTGTAAGAGCAAAGTGTGGAGAGGTATTTCTATTGTGACACATGGTGAAAAAAAATGTACAGAATTAAATTTCTTTTGAGAAACAGCTGCTTGTGCTGTCAGTGGATTTCACTTAGGGGATGAGGCGACCACATCGAGATCATTTGTGGTCAAATAATTCTCACAGAGGCAATAAATAATGCGGTGAGGATTGTATACAATTCGCTTTTCTAGACTGGTGTCAGTAAAAAAAAAAAAATAGAAGAGGAAAACAAAAAAGCAAACTGCCTCTGAGTCTTTCTGCAAAAATAGGTCAGATTTTAGCATCCAACACAGAAACACAACAGATGTTTTATGTACTGTGTGAATAAAAATCCACAGAGAACAGAGGAGGAGGAGGAAAAAAAAAGACTTTTGTAAGTGTGCTGCTGGTGGTGATTGTGGGGCGGTGACTTTAAAATGTGATACAGAGAAGAGATGAAAGTCGGTGAAAAGAATGAGATAAAGGAGATGGAAAGTAGACGATGGGAAAGAAGCGGGGATATGGAAGGAGATGAGCATAAAGGAGCTTACAGAGCTGATGTGTGCCTTCTGAGTGTGTGTGAATGTGTGGTAGTCTGTATGGCAGTTCGTTTGTTCACCTCTTTGGACTAAACTAAAATATCTCAAAACCTCTTACTGTGAAATCTTGTATAGAAAACACCTGATCCCCAGAGGACGAAGACTAAAAACTTTGGTGATCCTTTGACTTAACCTTTGGCACCGCCGGCAGACCAAAGTTGTAGTCTTGTTTCTCTGTGTCGCAGTGCTAATCCACTGTATTCACTGTGTCTTGCATACAGTTTTTAATAGATCTGTGGGGGCTACCCCTGCATACTGCAAACCTAACTGATGGGACACATTAGCACAAATCCCCAAAACCTTTCCCTAAATGCTGTCTCTCAGAATCAGCTTTATTGGCCAGGTGTGTTGAACACATGAGGTATTTGACTCCGGTGATGCTGAGTATGGAGGGGGCTTCTCCTGAAGTCCACTTCCATCTCCACTGTTTTGAGCATGCTCAGCTCCAGGTTGTTGCGACCGCACCACAGGGCCAGCTGTTCAACATCCCATCTGTACACTGGCTCATCATCATCTTGGATGAGACACCTGTATTTTCTACCTCTCTGTTTCTCTACTTCCCTTCCTTCGTCACCCTTCTTCTTCCTCATTTCATCCCTACTTTCTCTGCATGTCTGCCTGCCTCTCCTTCTCTTTTGCTCCCACTCAGCTTTTCAACTGTATGAAGACTGATCTATGCCTTTGTAAGAGATTGAAAAAGAACATTCATCAACAAAGAGTTGCCCCAACACTTCACGTGAATTGTGTGCGACTGCATGCGTAAACAAAGTTAATGCTATCGGAAGCATTTCACATCTGTATCTGTGTGTGTGTGCGCGGCAGCATGTCTGAGTAGGAACACACCTCCTTGAACCTGCTTCCACCTGCCGTGACTGACTGGAGGCAGCATGTTGAATGCTCTATGCTTCTTTTTTGTTGTTGACATTCAAACAGTGTAGTAGGTTTTGTTGCTAGTGAAGTGCCAGAGGTAGAATCCATCTGGTATTTAAAAACTGTGTTGACAAAAGAGTGGATTTCTGAAATACAAGTACAGTTGAGTGTGTGTGTGTGTGTGTGTGTCAACATTTATGTGTGTCGGAATAATACCCAGAAAGGAGCCATGAATCATGTTTACACCCTTGGTGTAACGCCTTTCATCCATCATTGCATTGTGTTTGTGTGCGCGCCCGTTTGTGCGCAGGTTACTGCACTCCTAATTTGACCAGAGAATGAGCGAATGTTATCATTTTCCTGCCCTTGACCTGTTCCCGCACCAGTAGACAGAAACACCAGATTGAGAAAAGATTGAATGAGGGGTGTGGAGAGAAAACTAAATAAACAGGAGAAAGAAAAAAGAAAAGGGAAGAGAGAAAGCTGCTACTTCGAGCTGCACAAGTACAAGGTAGCCACAGGGAAAGTATATTATAAATAGTTTTGAAACTGGTTTAGTGGCTTCTGAGGCTTTTCCTCTCCATGATGGAAAATCTCATTTTCAATAACACACCAGGTTGTAAATATTAGATCCTGTCCGAGCCCAGGATGCCACCATACTCATCACAAAGTGTCATCAAAACAGAAATTTCTTTGGCGGATGGATTAGCTTCAGTCTTCCTCATGTAGACTTTGACCTTTAGGCTGTAAATTGCAGATGGTGATCGGGAGACAAGAAGAAATGACAATAGAATGACAGCCGAGGGGAATTGGATCGCTCGGTCAGAACTTTGGGTTTGTTAAAGAAGTTTGAAGCTTGAAAAGTTTGTTAAAATGTGTCCATGTTGAGGGTTTTTATCTTTTTGTCCCGTCAGTTTTTGACATTACCGGGTGTTCTAATAGGATTCTGACTGATACACACAGACATGCACGCGCACAAGCGCTCACTTCACACAGCGTTTGATCTGGCTCGCTCTGAGGTGACATCCGGCTGCCAGTAACGAGGCCAACTCTCGAGGAAGGAGAACCTGAGGTCAAAGAGGCAACTACAATTCCACAGGCTTTCATTTAGTGCTCGGCTCAACCGCCCCACCTGTCTTTGAGCTGAGATTGAAGACCTTCAAAAACAGACAGAGAAAGAAAATGAGGGGTGAGAGAGAAAGGGGAGAAGGTGTCAACAAAAAAACCCCTCAGCTGTCAAAACTCAGTGTCATCATATCTCAAAAGGGAATTGGTAATTGGTCAGGAGAGAAAGGGGAGAAGGGGACTAGACACA